CGCGCGCCGGCCCCGCGGCGGGGCCTGCCCCGAGCGGCGCCCGCCATGTCGTGCGTGCACTACAAGTTCTCCTCCAAGCTCAACTATGACACGGTCACCTTCGACGGCCTCCACATCTCCCTGTGCGACCTCAAGCGCCAGATCATGGGCCGCGAGAAGCTCAAGGCGGCCGACTGCGACCTGCAGATCACCAACGCGCAGACCAAAGAAGGTGCGTGGGGCCGCGGGGCCTGCGGGCCGCGAGCCGCGGCCGGGCACGCGGGAGGCCGCCCCTAACGGCGCCCGGGCCCTCGAAACTGCGCCGAAACACGGAGCAGCGCCAATAAAAGAGGGCCCCTCGTGGCCTTTTCTCTTTGTGTTTTTGTCCTCGCTTGTTTTTTTTTTTTTTCCTTTTTTTTTTTTTTCTTTCTGATACGCTGGAAAAACGACTTTGTGGCTGTTGCAGATTTAGTTGTCTGGCAACAGCCTGTATCACCAGTGTATCCATGAGCTGTAATCTTTGTAGGCGCCTAAAGAGCATCTTGCACGAGTAGCGCCTCTGCATCTAATCTACACTCCACAGTTTAATTTTATTTTTTATTATTTTATCTTTTCTACCAAAGATATTTCCATTCCGAAGCTTCTGAGTGTTGTTTCAGTGTTCATTTTTAACCTTTTTTTTTTTTTTTTTTTTTTTGAGGGGGTGGGAAGGAGTGGAGGGGAGAGGGGAGGGGAGGTGTGTGCCAGGGCAGTATTACAGTTTATGGTACCTGTGTGTTTGTGTGTATACATACATTTATATAAAATATGTACAAGAACATTATATAAAGATATATCTTGGAGATATCAGATTCCAATAAATGGTGCTTGGTTCTCAGTGGTAAGATCATTGTTTAATATCAGTTATAATGCTTGGACTTGTCTTGGTGGTCTGTTATCTTGGTAAGTTTTGAATGTGATTTTTTTGCTGTTGTTTCGGGAGACTCTGGGATGTGACTTATAAGGAAAAAAGAGATTTGTCTACAAGTATTTTTAGTTCTTAAATTCAAAATATTTTATTCAGCACAGTAGATGATTGAACACAGTGGTTCTGTGATACTCCTAGCAGTTTGCTTTTTAAGATGTATTCTAGTTTTTTTTCCAAGTTTTAAACAAGGAAAACTTAAACAGTTCCTATGTACACCGCAGTAACTGCAACTTCATCCCCACGCTTTACAGGCATTGGACCTAAAGTTCACCATTTATCAGTATATATCAGGATATTATTTAATGGAAGACATCTATCAGAGTAGGAACATTTTTTTTCTTGCTTATAGATATTAAAAGGTGAAGAGGCCTCCCAGTACATGGTTAAGGGCTGCTTTAGGGCTGCCTTTGTACGTAGGCAGTTAGTTACATTGCACAAGAGGAGGAATTCCCGCAGTAGCATTAAACAACAGTGGCAGAAGCTTTGGAGAAGTGCTCCCTGCTGTTGGCGTTGGTGGGCGGTAAGGTAAATAGTAGAGGTGTTTAATTTGCCTGAGGGGCTTTCTTACAGAAGGACTTTGCGTTTTGTCTGTGGTTACTGATGGTCATTCAGCAGCAACAGCAGCAAACACCGGCAGGCTGAAGAACCTGTCTGCTCACGTGCAGGGGGCAGAGAGAACCTTAAAAACAGCACCTTCAGTGCTGACAGTCGCTGTGCAGCCCAAGCATTTTTACCAGAAGTAAAAAATAAATATATCTGGTGGGTGGTTGTGGGTGTGTGGGTTTTTTTTTTTTTTTTTTGACTAGATCAGGTGCAGAGATACCACGGTAGCAGATGGCAAACAGAAACCAAAGTTGGGGAGTGTGTGTAACTTTTTTTTTGACTGCTCCTTATTTAAGCTGTGTTAAGCCCACAGACAGTTTAATACTGTTAAGCTGTTAGAATATTTGTATAAGAGGGCAATGCAGAATTCTCTGAAGAGGTATCTGCTTCACTTTAGTTTAGCTCATTTGTCCGTCTTTATTTTAATGACCATCACTCATTTGAAGCTGTCAAAATCCTCTTCCTCTAGGTAGTTTGTGTTGCACTCTGTTTCGAAACTGAGTATAAAATTCTAAGTGTAGTACCAGTGATGTGAATGCTTACTGGAGTTTTCATCATGGTGATTTTCATGTTAAAAATGCAAAAAGCACTGTTTTTCAGAGGAAAACTAGACAATACGTTTGAATATAGCACTTATATGCACCAAATTGTGTATAAAAGTCAAAGTTCTGTTTTTACTGATCACGTTGGAAACCTGAACTCCCTTTAGGATATTCTGTTTAAATGGGGTGTTTAAAATTATTTTCTTGATGAGTCATTTAAATTGTTAGAAAACTAGTGTTTTTGAAGATAAATGGAAGGTTTCCTTTGCACTCTCATGCAAGGAATGTTTCATTGGGAAGTTCCAGATGTATATTTTATTATTATTATTAATAATATTTTTGCAGGGGCAGGGGATAGACTTTTGGAAGAGTTGAGGCCTGGGTGTTACCGAATGAAAGCCTGAAGTGATGAGGGAGGAGCACAGAACTTTAGTTTGTTGTTGTTGTTGCCCTTGTTTGGGAAGGGAGAACAATGCAGCAAGCAGAATGGGAAGCAGTCTGACTTCTTTCTGTCTTCAATTGTCAAAATCTAGCAAAAACATCCGTTCAGTCCCTCCTGTTTTTCTTTATATGCCCTTTATGTACGGAATTCCTATGTCCGTAACATGGGTTTCGGTTTAGTGTGAGGTTCTGCAATATTGCTCAGTGGTCTAACAAGGCGGACGTGCTTCTGCTACACAAGAGTCTGCAGGCTCGGGTGTCCTGCCCGTATTGGAGCAGTGGTCTTGACGAGCAGCTGTAACAGCTTGGCAGCCTGCGCAGCCGCCCCGGCTGGGCGCTGTGCTGCGGAGGAGAGGGCACCTGGGTAGATACCCGGACGGTGGGGTTGCTTCAGCTCGGCCATGGCTCCGGGGCGTCCCGAAAGACGGGGCAGGTCCCTGAAACCACGTTCCTTTGCCCAGTTGTTCAGACTTAGCATTTTCCAATAAGCTTGCTGTGTGCCCAGTGTGTGACTTATTGTAGAAGTTTGTTATTAAGCCAGAGACATTGCTCCTATTTCAATGAAATCAAGATTTTTTTTGACAAAATTCTAACACGCAGTTGGTGGAACTCTGCATTTCTGCATAGATAGGTGACCTTGTATTTGAGAGATTTGCAGAAGAGGCCCAAAAGAAAGTGACCATATTTCTCTATGTATTGTTCACATAAGCTTGAATAACTAAATTGGTTGAATAAATTGAGACTGCACAAGTGAAACAGTTGCTACCGTTTTGTATTGCTCAGCAATATATAGATTCTTTTGGTAGGTCATTGTGAAAATACAGTAGTAGTTTCACTTTTTCAGCACTGATTTGCACAATAATATCCATGCTGTGCTTTATGGCAGTGGTTTAAAGCACTAATATGATGCACAAGCATTCCATTAATGGTATTCTCAGCGTGTTTAAGTTATGGTGCTCACTTGGGAGCAATAATTTTTGAAATAATAGTGTGTTTTTTATAAGTTTTTCTCTGCTATCGAGCATACATGCTAGCAATAACGGAGGATTAGGTGTTATATAATGCTGAACTGCAGTATTTGTCCAGATGGTGATATGTCTGATCAGAGAGATGAGTAATTCGAAGGAGGAAAAAAAAAAATGTTCTTTCAAGAGTCTCTGGAACTCGAGGTTGGCTGGAGGTCAGAGCTGCAGTTCACAAGTGACGGCCACAGCGGTGCCACTGCGCGATGTCACCAAGGCAGCTCGTACCCGCTCGGCTTGTCCACGGCCTGGGATCCCTTCGGCAGGATGTGGATGGGTCGTTTAGGTGTTGAGGCAGCTCCTGCCCTTGCCTGTCCCTGGGCGGTTCTGTGCTGCAGTGCTAGTTCAGGGGGTGCTGTAGCAGCCTCCCAGAGCACGGTGCAGCTTGGGCTGCCGTGCTGCCTTCTCGGTCAGGGTGTGCGGTGCTGGGGGTAGGTTGCCACCTGCCATAGCTGCCGTGTGACCGGGGAGCTCTGCAAGGGAGTCCCCATCGCTGAGGGGCTGGAGCTTGTTCCCCCAGTGTCAGCCAAGCTGCTGCTGCATTGTGGGTGCTACGGGGCAGCTCACCCTGCTCCATTACTGCCTTGCTTTTCCCTGTCATACGCAGAGATGTTGAGCAGTACCAGTAAGACCTGAAGGCTCCCAGCAGTCTGAATATTCAGATTAATGCCTGGAATCGTGTCAGACCTCAGCGACGCAGCAGTTCAAAACCATGCAGCTGCTCTTGAGCACAAGTGAAAGTCCCGTGGACCACCTCTATAACTGAACAGGCAACCTCAGGCAGTGGTGTTTCAGGGTTAAATTACATCATTTATATCTGTTTCAGTGGCGACTGAAAATCTGGAAATGATAGTCCAGGCAGTTAATTAATATTTCAAGGCAGTGTTTTAGATGTCAGCTACACAGATCATTTGTTTGCCGGGGAGTGTGTAAATGGCCGTTCATTATCCCGGAAGAAAAGCTTGGAGGCAAGGATGTGTCTGGCTTAAGAGGCTAGGGAGGAGTACGTTTCTGGGAGGGCTAGTTGTTCTGCATGTCAGCAGTCACCTTCATCCCTACCTGCCAGCCATGCAATATCAGGTTTCAAGGTATTTTGCTCACACGGCCTCGTCGTGCAGCAGTTGCTGCTGTGACCTGTTCGTTCCCTGGGCGGGAGTGCCCCTCAAGGCGCTGCTCACACAGATGCTTCAGCAACGCTGTCATGCTCGCGTTGGCCAAGGAGGGGCAAAGCCATCCAGTGGGAACTTTTGTGGTCGACAGTGTATTAGTATAGAGTGCATGTTAAAATTGTAGCAGACCTGGAGCTTAGCGAGTTTAAAAAGAGAGGGTTTAATTGTATGTTAAAGGCAAAGAGGTATAAGCCTTGGAGCATAAGCAGAGCTGTTGATGCTTCGCTTGGTTTCGTTTGCAGAGAAAAATGTTGCTAACACTAACATAGTCTTGCTTAAGACTTTTGGTTGGTTGGAAGCAGCAGCCAAACGGGTGTGGGTTTGTTTTTGTTGTTTCAGGCAGTGTTTCTCCATGCATTCACTGCAATTCTCCTTTACCTCAGCCCCTTGGAGAATGCTCTTTTCTTCTGAAACTGACAGCAAGTTTTTGGCTGAGATGTCTCTTCTGCTATCGACCTTAATGTGATGTGCAGATTCCCCCCAGCTTTCTTTGTTAATTGAATCCTTGTTTTTAATCACAGCTCATGTAGACAAAACCCCAGTAGCCAATCACTGACATGACATTGATTGCTGTGTGCTTTGAGAGCCTAGGCAAGGCTGCCTCCTGCTTGGCCCGTGGCCGTGCCGGGGCTGAACCTGGGCGAGTGTGAAGGGCTGTGTTGGGCAGGACGTGGCCGCTCGCTCGGCAGAGGCTGCGGGGCTGCACGGCTCCCTGGGGCTCCCTGCTCCACACAGGATGGTCGCTGCCGCCCAGGCCCCGGGCTCCCGCTGGGAGAGCGGCTGTGAAATGGAGATGGAATGAACGAGAATTCCAAGGGACTTCACAGGAGCACTTTATCTTTAGTCATCTTCTGTATATATTAAAAAAGAGCGAAACACTTTTGCATTGTTTGATGGCTTTTATTGAAGTGCCATTGCCAATTTGAATTTCTTCAAGTAAGGCAAAGGAAAAATGTGGTAAGCTATCCGGTAGCCAGCATCTTCAGAGAAGTAACTGTCGCACAGGCACTCTCCTGCGTGGATCATTCTTTCACAAATTCTCTAACACACTTTTTGAGCTAAGGGGACAATGAAATACCAATGCAAAAAAAAAAATGCCATGATAAATGTCCTGTACAAATAAAGCTTTTACTTCAAGCTATTAAAACTCTTCAGTTGACCACATTAAATGTTCATTGAAAGCACAGATTGACATTTCAGATGAATTCATTTCTGTATCAGACTGTTCATAGGTGGCTGGAAAGCAGGAGCTCCCTTCACAGCACACTTAACTTGCAGGATGAAAATATTTATATGTACACAGTTTATTTGGAAGGCAGCTGTTGATTCGTTGCTTCTAATGGTCTCTGAATTGTCACAAAAGACTGAAAAATGATTTCAGCACATTTGATTTGGCCTCTGCAAATTCACTTTTGCAGTTCTTTGGTCTGTTCTTTCTGAACCCACACTTGTCCCGGGTACTTTGTCTTTACCTGTGATGCAAATGGAAAAAATAATTGTTTGTTTTTTCAGCTTGTGTCCAGGCCGTGCAGATGGGTACTCGGCTCTCTCAGTATTTGCGGTTTCTTTTCAAGAGAGGTGGTGTCAATTTTAGCCTTATGCAGATGCCAAATCCTAAGCTTGGCCCAGGTGTAGCGAACTGTACAGAGCAGCTGTTGCTTTTCAGAGGTCTTTGAAGTTTCAATCTTTTTCTTTTTTCTTAATGTAGACCAAAAAGTGTGGTCTGTGTGACTTCATTGAGCAAGTAAAAATGGATTTGGGGATTGCAACTGCCATGATATCCCAGGCATTTATCTGGGTCTTAGTACTGCTAGAGCTCTTCTTCTTCTCTCTCTCCTTTTTTTTTTTCTATCAAAAATTCCTAATGAAAATAGCTGTCTGGCTGTGTGACTGTCTGGTTTTCCCTTTGAGAAATGCTCTGAGGGTTGGTTTCGGAATAACTGTTCTCAAGGCTTCTGTTTTCATGGACTTGAAGAGTAATCCTTTCTCCAGCAGTTTAAAACTAATGTGACGTCTAGAAAAAAGTTACTGCTCCCTGTTCAGTTCCTTGGGAAAGCTGAGGATTTGTTTTCAGTTTTTCTGGAGAAACATTTCTGTCACTAGAAATAGAAGCTTTTATTTCACCATTAAAGCAATGATTTGGGGTATATGTGCATTGGTTTAGGGGAGTTTCTTGTCTCTGAGGAACATGCTGAAAAATGAAGTGTAGAATCTATCTTATGGAATCTTTCACGTATGATCACTGTGCAGAGCTGCAAAGATTGTATGTTCAGTGCCAAATCATGGCATGTGTGCATGTGACTTTCAGACCATCCTTCCAATTCAGCCTGCAAAGGCACAATTTAATGTATAAATGTAGGTGGATTATAGGCAATGTCTGATGAGAGTGCTCTAGAATATTTAGCCATATGCAGCCTGTGTAAATACAATATGCAAGTCATTTTCATGGCAAGATCTTTGCATTTGAAGCCTACTCAGTCTGAAGGTCATTAGGTGCTTCTTGTTGTTTTGTCTTATGTAAAAGGCCAAAAAGTTTTCTTTTCAAAAATGCTAGCATAATGTGAGCTAAGGTAAAATATGAGTACTTTCAGGCATGTGCTATCTTCCAAGGCTTTCTTAAGATCAGTTTTTATAACTGATTTTATCTCAGTCGTTTTGTTCTGCAAAAAGTGAATCTAAAAAACCTCCGTCCCCGTTTTTTGTTGATTCCTACTAGTCTCTGAGCTTAAGGAGAGAGAGCACTTTTGTTGGAGCAACTCCTGGCCTATGGGGGGAGGAGGGAGGAAAACAATAAGTAGCTTCTGTGGTCAGAATTCCAGGCATGTCGTCTAGTCTCCATTTAAATGTGAAGCACTAAGCTGAAAAAATGCCATTGTTCTTGATTTATAAACTTAAGAAATAAGCGGTTGGGTTCTCTTCTGTGTTCTGTCTGTGCGGAAACACTAGCAGTGTGGATGAGTTGTTCGTGGTTACCAGCGATGCAAACAGTCCTAGAAAGTTTGCAGGCTTTAGTGAAGTACCATCTTGGGGGGCAAGCGAGTGGCACTTATGAAAATGTTTGTTTCTTCCCTAGAGAATTTTGCAGTGGATTTTCTCCAAGAGCTATTGGCTTTGTAGTCTAACAGAAGCAAAAACAACTTGAGCAGCAATAGGAAAGAACCTTTTGCATTAGTAAGATCCTCCTTTAGTGATATTTGAGATTATTTTGCTGTTGAAATTCACCTTGGTTTAAAAAAATTTTGTTGCTTGTGTTTGATTATCCAATCTAAAGGTTTTTTTAAGCTTACAGTTAGTTTGTGTGGGCGATAGAAACACAATGTTACATATGAAATTCTGGTTTTGTATCCGTAAAGGGAGTCTCTGAAGTGCTATGTAAATATATATTAATATATATCAATTTTTGCTGTTTTTCTGTTGCTTTCAGAATACACAGATGATACTGCCCTGATTCCTAAGAATTCATCAGTAATTGTTAGAAGAATCCCAATTGGAGGAGTTAAAGCTACCAGCAAAACATATGTTATGTAAGTCTCCATAAAACATTGTATCTTTGAGGGCTTCAGTGTTTAAACTTTTTTTTAATTGATCTTAGTTTACTAGAAGGATTCCTGTTGTATTTTTATTGGCAGAACTATTGCAAGTTTTTGTTGTAAGGCGGTAGATAGTCCTTTATCTGTTCCAGTGTGAACTTACATTTTTAGGCTCACTGGGATATTGGATTTCATCTCTATCAATAGTAACTTTTAAAATAGTTCTGTAGCCTTTGTTCTTAGGGTTGATGTTACGTGTAGACCCCATTTCCTCTACATGGAAAGATTCCTTAATATGTTTTACTAATTTCTCTTATAGTTGACATGGATGTGCAATGTAGTTTAATTTCTTCTTATCTCAGAAAAATCTGTATCTTAATGTGACTATTTCTTGCATTTTAGTTTTAGGATTTAGGATCCATGTAGGATATGGCAGGTATTCTTACAACCTAAATCTGGTGGGTTTGCCTAGGGGCCAAGGATTGCCAGTGATGATGAGCCAGGCAAACATATCTTATTTCTGGCTGCTGTTAGTTAGGAATGTTTGTAAGGAAGCAGTAGCTCTTTCAGGCAATGCCAAAATAAAAACGTGTATGATGAAGGAATAATTAATATTTTCCCAACTGGAAAGCCCGGAAGCAGTTCTGCATGTCAGCAAGATTGATTAGTTCTCTAATTCTCTCTTTGACCTAAGCTGATATCTGCTCTCCAGGTGTTCATTTTAAGTTCTTTGGACTCTTGGAAAACAGAATTAAATGCATAAATTAATTACAAAAATTTAAATGCAATCTGACCACAGGATTATTGCTGCCCTTCATTTGTACGTACAGTACAGTCCACTGTCGGTTACTCGAGCGTTGTTTGAGCGGTCGTGTCTTCTAGTCTCACTGGAGAAAGGCCTCAGCAGCACAAATAGATGTTATTAGCTTGAGGTTTTGCTGTGCCTTATCTTGAATGTTGATTGTTAAAAGTACACTGCAGAGTTCTGGTATGTATCTAACAAGTGGTGCAGCAGCATCCTGGCATCCGTGAGGTGTTTGCAAGCGGAATGGCTCCTTTGCAGGGCTGTGTGCGAGCTTTAGGCTGATTTAGCACCGCAGTCACAGTGCTTTTGAGCCTTACCCAGTAATACTGGACTGTGCAGTACTGTGCTTCTAAACGCTGCCTGCTTTGGAGGCCAGCCTAAGTATGTGAGTCGGGACAGCGCAGCCTCCATCCCTGGTTGGATGGCACCCTCTCCTGGTGTGTAATCCTGCTCCAAAAGGAGAGCACGGGTGCCAGCAGCAATGAAGACCAGATAAGTATCTGTATGTGGGCAGAGGGAAAACGGCCCCGTGGCTCTAAATCTAAACATTAACCTGGCACGTTAGCTTTGTTAGTGCTACAGGAACAACTGGGACAGTAGTTAGCACTTGTAAAATAAAAATACCTCGTAGTATAGAGGCCTTTGAAAATGCATGATTCCTCCTGTACATTCTTGAAGGAAGAAATGTTAAGGAGTGATTGTGTGGTAATGTAAAGGCCTCTTTAGGTCCTCATGCTCAGAAAGTACGTGGTGGTAGCCACGGGCCTGCAGGCTCCCTAGCGTGGACAGGATGTACAAGCCTGTGTGTGTGCACCCACGCCGTAAGCCTTGGAGCTGCCTCTGCTCATGGGATGCTTTGGATGACTGTGTGCATTGTTTGTTAGCTATGGCAATCGTTGCATGTCCCATTCCTAAGCAGCATGTGTACAGATCAATCAGTATGTGGAATCTCAGCAAGTTTTCAAATGTAATAAGATATAGTTCCTAAAATATTGTAGCATTTTCAAGATTATTTTAAAGCAAATTCTGGCAATTAAGACCTTTTTTTCTGTCACAGGACTCCTAAATCGCACAAAATCCTAGAAACTTCTTTCAGGTGACATTTCTACTACTATTTTTAGTCAATGTAGCATATGTAACACGTTTAATATTTTGGCACTTTCATGGCTAAATATAGTAGATATCTGAACACAGTGCTTGGGCTTCCACAAAGAGACACTGTTCTCAAGACTGCGCTCTGACGTTTTTGTTACTCCTGTCAGATGAGTGATTTTTCACTTAAGTAAAAATTCGCGTTTCAAAGTGTCTAGACTATCACTCTTCATTCTTAGAAATTAAAATGATGCATCTGTTTTCTGTTTAGAATACTAGGACTGTGCAGTTTGGCTAAAGTTACCTTCCCATTTACATGGGTGATTGAGAACAAAACCGTAGCAGTCTTTGGTTTTGATCTTACATAGTGGAGTCAATATATAAGGACTTTAATTTGCACTGTTTTATATATGTAAGCTTAATTTTTATGTCAAAGTAGAAATGTTTTTAAGTCTCTATGAATGTACCAAGGGAGAACACCTTGTATATATGAATAAATTTTCGTATTTATTAGACGATTCAAGTGTGATATTTTGATGCTCAGGTTTTATGATCTGTTTTCACTGCTTTATATTGGATCTGAGTGTTTTCTTTTAAATTCTGATGGCCTTTATTTCTTCTTCTAGAAGTCGAACTGAACCAGTGAGTGGGACATCAAAAGCAGTATGTAAAAACACAATCTCACACTTTTTTCTACACACTGCACTTAATTATAAACAATGTAGCCTTACACTTAATTTTCCAAACATTAACTTAACATATTTTCCAGCAAAACCTAGTGTATGTTGTAAATACAATGTATTTAATTCAGCATACTAAAATATGAGTAATGCCATCATTTACAGAGTTTTAATGTGAATATTGGTATTTGTGCCTAGTAATGCGTTGTATTTCATATTGAATATGCTAGACTACTTCCTGTATGACATTGTGTTGTACAGATAATGTATGATCGTTTCTTAGATCATGTAGGCTCAAGGTTTGCACAGTCGAACATGGTGCCATGTTCTACATCTGTCTGTCTATAGCTAGTAATATGTATGTTTGTACAGGTTGTTGTGTGCTTTTTGTTTCTTGCAATAAAAATGTTTGGAGTGTATTTTTTTGCCATTTTCACATTGTATCACTTTAGCTTTTGTTTTTAAATACTTTTTTTTGCCAAATGGTTTTTGAAAATGTTATCAAAAACCACTGAGAAGCCATTACTGTTAAACTGGGTACTGTTTCTTTCTTTTTGACTTGAGGGTTCAAATGAGTACTAGAAGGAACAAATCCCAAACATTTTCTGAGGACAGTTCTGTGCAGCTAAATTATTCCTTTTGATGTCCTTAAATACCTGAGTATTTGTTCCTGAAACTATAATTGAAGTGATATTTTTTGGGCCCCTCTTGAGTACGTAACCATTTCAAAGATTGACGTGGATTTAAATAGCATTGCAACGCAAAGTGATATTTCAAATTTCTACATTTGATCTTTCCACTTTACCCAATGAAACGGCTTAGTTTAATAGTATGTCTGCAGATGAGAATATCTGAAATATGATCTGTAAATCCTAGCACAGGGCTCGAGCCTGGCGCGTTCGTGCCCTGCCAGCTCAGCTACTGCTTGCAGTGCGTTTTCTTCCCAGGGGGCTTCAGGGGTGGATGCTGCTTTATGCTCTCAAGGGTTAAGCCTCGTGTTAGTGTGCTGCCACAGTGAAATTACATTGGGGAAAGAGGAAGCATTTTCTTCACGTTTGAAAGTACCCTCTAATTCTGCTACTAAAATATACATAAGTAACAGAGGGAAATACTTCACTGATGATGTTATAGATCTTGATTTGCCATTTACTTGAATATCAATGTATAATGACACATTTCAAAGTAGTCTTATATTAATATGAAAGTTACTACTCGGTGTTTTTATTTTCCATCTTTATTTCAATTATTACTGCCTTTTCTTCACTAGACCGGTGTGAGGCATTACACTAACCCTGGATCATTGGATCTGACCACTTGCTAAGCTGTTAGGATAACTTAATCTAGAAATTCATGAACTCTGGGTCCGTGTTCGAGGACGAATACGACCTCTGGTTCTGTCGAATGGGATGCAATCAACCTAAAATCCAAAACTTCTTATATGTAGGTTTAAAAATACTAAGTCTAAATCTGATGTTCATAATTCTATCACTGATTGGTTCAAATTCCTTTTTGGACATAAATGCCTCTCATTGCAAGTTTCAGTTAGTTTAACTGGCCCAGTGACCCTAGTAGTTAATGTAATGCATTTATGTAAACCACGTTTATAGTATTTGGTCTAATTCAGATGGGTTTTTATTTCTTGAAAGCAGTTATTTTTCTTTTTGTTTACTAGCATGTGTATAAGCACAAATCACATGTTCATAAATAAAGTTAACATTCTTTTAGCCTCGTGTGTTCCCTGGCATGTCTGTATTACATTTCTAAGTAGCATCTTACCATGATCTTAATATAGATTTTATCAAAAAGGCTGAAAGAAAAGGATGGGAGATCCTAGTTGGAACTAATTAAAGTAAATGGGAAGCAAAGCAAAAGCATTGCCTTTTTATTTGCTTTGGCTCCACCTGATTTGGGTTGTGGGTAGACACAGTGGAGCGGGGGGAAACCTCCTTGGATTTCTCCAGTCCTCTGTCTATGGAAGTCAATGTCTGTGACTTTTTTTAAAGCATTGCAGTCTCGGACATATCCATTGTTGGAGACAAAATTAGCTTCATTCTTAAAGCAAAATCAGATCTTGGTCTAAGTGTTTTTTAAAGTTACATATATACAATCTCTGCATGTATATCAAAGCAGATCTTTGGGTATTGTAATAGGAACAGGTTACTGGAAAGCTGGCCTGTTACTGTTCAACAGTAAAGCATAGACATCAAAATTAAAATGAGCTAGGATATCAGGTTCAGAAAAGCTTATGACTTGATTATTTCTTCCTTATGTTGCTCTCATGATAACTGCCCTTCTGCTCCTCTAAATCTGTGCTGTTGCCTTATTACAGCCAAATCAAGAAAGCAATTCCTCTTTGTTTCAGTAGTTGTGAGTGTCCCTGGCTGGTATTTGTCCATAGGGCCTGTAGAAACATAAGTCATGTCCTTCACTTCCTAGTGTCAAACATGACTGCAGCCCCTCCTGGCTTAATCCTCCATTGAGGCAGATTTTCAGGTTTGGGGTAATATAAAAGTTGCACATAGTATCTATTTATTTCTCTTTGCCCTTTGCTTTATCTTAATTTCCCCGTTTTCGTCTGTATGAGAGAATACGTTGGATGTCAGTGCTGGAGGTGTGGGTGGGGTGTTTTTTTTTTTTTTTTTTTGGGGGTGGGTTTTTTTGTTTTCTTTTGTTTTTTCTGTCTGTTCTGTGTGCGAGCCCTGGCGACACCGTTTCTGCTTCCCTGGCTTCAGGGGCTGCCAAGAAATATTGTTAAGGAGCCGTTGGGCAAACGCTGAATTGAACACTGAGTCACAGCTTGTTGCTTTCAGTAACTGTTGAGTAGCAAGGAGTGTTACCACCTCCTTTAAGAAAGTAGATTGTTGCCTGTTGTATTTTATTCAGCAACAGGATTATATTGTCAGGAACTAATTAATAGTTCGTTAATTGTTGGGCTTCAGTTGTGGATCAGTCCTGGACTGTTTAATGTGTCACTAAACTGCTAGGCTCCAGCTGAAGCTTTTCGAATGTTTGCTGAAGACCTATGGGGAAGTAGCCCTGGAATTCTTGTCATGACGGAAACGAGGCTTCCTTCTTTCCGCATGTGAAAAGCAGGAACTTAATGAGCATGAGGTTACTTCATTAGACTACTTTCAGTATGGCTAGGAACTGAGTGCTCAGAAAAGGAGGAAACTTGCATCTTCTCATAGCATTCACAAGGGAAGGGAGCTCTTATTCCGGGTTTGAATCTTCCTCTGCAAAGGGCATCTTCAGAAATTTAATTAGTAGTGTAGTAATGCTGTGTATGTTTTTCCATCCACGCATGTTTCTCTGTGGAAGGAATGATTAATGCCTCTGTTGGAGTGAGGAGTCATCTTCTGCAAGCAGATTCTGCCCCTCTCACCACGGAGTCTGAGTAGTTAAACTGCTCTTGAATTCTTTCCCTCCATTAGGTAATACAGGACAGCAGCCTTTCGAAGGAAGGGATTTAATTATTATTTATTTTTCTTGACCAATTTGGTGACCTTTCCGGGAGAGGGGTTTATGGTGAGGTAGAAGCTTCATGGTGAGGCTTCCACCAGACTTTTTTGTGGAACAATTTATGACACAATAAACAACAATTTGAAAGTCTTTTGGATAATGGTTTGTGTAAACTTATTGCTGCTTGCATAATTCAATATACTGGAAAAGGAAACAGTTAGAAATTGCCCTTTTTACATGTGGAAAAACTGCAGTTTAATATTGGCTCTCAAACAATGTTGTCTGGAATCTTTTATTAACTAGTGGCTTGAAGACTTCATTCGTGCAGACTGTTCCACTAGGTAGCTGGGGACAGAGAACAGTGGTCACAGTGGGGAAGAGTGACAGGGTTGCACTGCCAAGCCCTCTTCCTTCATCACCTTTTGTTTGTTTGTTTAGCTGTGAGCTGCTATTTAAAAGCTTCTTTGGCTTCATAGGAAGAAAAATAACAAATTCTTACTTTTTCCAAGCTGATTCTTATAGAATGGACTATTATCTGAAATACTGGAATAAATTACAGCTAGCTCATCTTTACAGGCTGTTCTGTCTTGTAGTAACCACCATTATTTCGGTAATTTAATCCAGTAGTTTGGGGGTTTTCTGCAGTAAGTGATGGGTTGCTCTTGTTGCTGATGGTGTGCGATGGAGTGGGTTGTGTGCGTGTGCTTTGGTTTTTATGGGGTGTGGTGAGTTTGGTTTACGTTTTTCTTTATATATTTTTTTTTTAAAACTTGGGGTAGGGCCAAGTTCTCACTTCAGGGCTGACCCTGCTTTCCTTTGATAGGCAGCAGTGATTAACAAAAAACATTATCATGTGTGTTTATAAATGGTGGCCCGTTGAGTGATTAACTTGCACATTCCACTGAGGAATCCTGCAGTGGATTACGTTTCCTGCAGTGATGCTCCCTTCTCAAACTTCCTTATCTTTTAAGCTGGAAGTTGACATTTTTCTTACTCCTTTGATTTTAAGTGTTGTTGTGCATCTGTGACAAGGTTCCCTCTTTAAAATGCTGTGGACTAATAAGCTGTTTTCAGATAGATTTGGAATTTATTTTAGTTTCTTATCATTAATCACATAGACACATAAGTTAATACTGCTTTGAATTGTTCTGATCAAATTGCGCTAGGCTGGAAATGCCTCTTCCAGCAACACACAGAAAATAAAGCGTAGACTTTCAGTAGAGGCTTAACTATTGCTGTGTTTTATTGTGGAACTTGAATATGTGTTTAATTTTTTGTGAACAGATTGATGACTCTTCTGCATCTATTTCTCTGGCCCAGCTTACTAAGGTATATATATATATATATATTCTTGTCAAATACTAAACAAAGAAAAGCGTTTGCTTTATATTTTTAAATCCTATACTGTGATCTATATCTGACTTATTGTTGTAACTTGAACAATATTTTAACTTAAGCTTAATAATATAAATTACTTAACTTTAAAATGTGTGTATATATTGATACTATCCTGTAAAGAGTAGTTCCTAGTTTGGGAAGATAGAAGGGGAGTACCTTATCAGCCTCACCATAATGTATTACTCATCTTCAAGACACAAAGAAGAAGCACTTCAGAAGCTGTTTACCGTTTTTCATACGTTTCGTTAATTTTGCGTTGGAAACTAATACAGTTTTTACAGAAGAATTTAATTGGCTGTAAGTTATGGACATTTCAGGGGTTTGCAACAGCCAAAATAGAAGCGTTTCCGTAACATGGACAATTGCATGACTATTTTTGAATTTCTAGTCTTTATAGATACTTTTTTGAATGTTGCATAATTTGATAAGCTGTAGAGCTGTAGTATATACACAACGGACAACCTTTATACAGTCTAATTTGTTTGAACGCAGACCGTGTAAATTGTGTAAATGTACCTAATTGTTTATAGGAATATACCAATGTGTGTGTGTGGCATATGAGAGGATGTGACCTTCTGAAGCTGTTGTAATGCCATGTTTTGCTATGAAACTGCTTGCATATTTTCCTCAATAATGTGTAACTTTGTCTGGGAAAGCACTAGTGACTGCCCTTTAGGAAAGGCCTAGTGTGCTAGTGAGGAAATTCCTAGTCTGCAAACTACAGAGATTAGAGAAGGCAGGGCCTAATGTAGCGTAGCTAGAGCGCTGGACCTCTCCTCCAAGCAAAATCTGGAGTAAATTTCCAGAAATCTTCTTCCCGCTGGTAATCTCTTCCCTCCAAATTGTGTCCATTTGGCAAGAACAAAACTTCCATTCAAAGTGCAACCACCTAAAGAAATTGGTCTCCATTAGTGCTGTCCCTAAACGTGTCCTTGGTTTTGTAAACTCATGTCAAGTTATTTTCTAAAATGTGCTAAACTGTCCAAGCGGTGTACACATCTAAACTTCCGAAAAATTAAGTACTTCTGAAAAATATGGGAGCATTAATTAATTAAAAATAAATAAACCTCTTCCGAGCAGGCTGGCTTAGCATGGAGGTAATGTGTTAACAGTTCCTATTTTATTATTACAATGTATTAAATGCCATATTTGATTTTTGGTCTATTCCTACTAATGTTTTGTGGTTTTGAATGTGTTTTGTAAACCGTTTGGGTTCAAACAAATTAGTCAAGTATTTGTAAATCGAGTTTTCTGTAAATGTTAATGGAAATGATTTCGTAGATGTCGATCTGGATTGTGTTACTGTTGAGAAGAACTGTGTATATGAAACAACCATTTAATAAAATGTTGAAACTAGTTGGTTGCTTTTGTGAATGAATGCATACAAAGACAGAAACGTGAGTGGCTGCCCTGAATGGTAGGTGCTTGAAGCTCCAAATAATTTGCATTCACTCCCTTAGACGCTGCTTGTATCTGGACTAGTGTAATATAAAAAACATGCTTGAGAAATGCAACAAATACTGCTTTAAAAATTAATGACTTCAGTAATTTGACGATCTAGTTCTGCATAAGGTTTATATTTACAGCTTGCCTATTAAAGGGACACAGTTGAAAACCAAGTTTTACTTGCTAGCTGCAGCACTTAATATTGACAAGTTGGGAGAAAAAAAAAAGATAATTTGGACAGTCTGCGCCATGTTGCTCTCAGTTTTCAACTGAGAAGTTTGTTTTCTTACTGAGTCCTTTTGATTTGGCTTATTTTTTAAAAAACTCTTGTAATTCTTTTTAATGAAACTTGGTCAGAAGCTGAATTTCAACCAATAGAAATAGCTTTCCCAACTGCAAGCTCTGTGTCCTTTTAATATTGCAAAATGTAAAAAATGCATTGTGTATCCCTGTTATAGGAATTAAATACATAATGAATAACTTTCTAATAGCCTGGAGCTTAAAATTCAGTCTAAAAATACCGGATAGTATATTTTTTACGCATAGCTTCAGCCCACTTTGTATCAAAGAGAATTGGATTGGTTACACAAGTCTTTATGTAAGGTACAAACAGAGCCTAAGGTTTTGAGTGCCCAGGAAGGTTCTCTCTGAGTAGGTTGACAGGCACATAAACATCATGTAATGGCGTAAGGACTCCCCGGAACATCTTCAGGACAAATATATTTTATATAAGCAGCTGTTTTGATGCAACCTCAGCTAGAGTTGTGCTGCTCTTTACAGGATTGGATGAGTGGTGTTATCTTTGGCTGTGTGGACTTAAATGTGTTTCTAATGTGTGTGTCAAATAATTGCCTGTTAAACAGACCGCCAATCTGGCTGAAGCCAATGCTTCCGAAGAAGATAAAATAAAAGCTATGATGTCACAGTCTGGCCATGAATATGATCCCATCAAGTAAGTGTTTGCAGTGTCAATGCTGCTCTTTGAAGATTATGGAAAACTTACCGAGATGCTTGCTTTGAGAAAAGACACATGTGCATATTCTTTTTCTCTTCTCTCCCTCGAACTTCTTTAGCTACATGAAGAAACCCTTGGGTCCGCCTCCACCGTCCTATACGTGCTTTCGTTGTGGAAAACCTGGCCATTACATAAAGAACTGCCCAACAAATGGGGTAAGATTGTGGGGGGGCTTCTGATGTTGCTTAGCTTCAAAGTTTTTGGTTTAGCAAGTATTTAATGATGAGATGAGCATTCATCGACGAAGTGTTGTTTGTCTTAACAACTGCCCGCAGGGAAGGCGGGCATGTTAGTTGGAGAGATCTGTTACCAAACAGTTTCTCTGTCTGTTAAAATCTCTTCCCCTTCAATAGGGATTCACTTCCAACTATCATATTCTGTTGTGAATGTTTTTTGAGTTCATTAAAACTAAAGTTGGAGGATATAGAAAGCTTTTATAAATATCCTGTCCTGCCATAGAATTTAGGAAATCAGTGTTTGATGTTCAAGAAGTTAAGATAGTCATTAAAAACATAGTAGTAAATAGTAGTAATTCTTATTTTATCTTCTTGAGTGAGCTAATGTTGAAAAGCCATTACAAATTCAAGAGAAATCTGGAATTATAAGTGTAAGTGTCCCCTTGTCTCTAGGACGTGGCATTAAATACCATGTCTGTAGATTTTTCTCTGTGTACTCTTGTGTTTCTTCATGTATCTTTTGATAATATTTCAGTTTTATTGAAAACTCTGCTTCAGCTATTTTTTTATTAATGATCATTCACATTTGCTGATACTTTGTAAAACTGAAGGATTGCATTTGGCTGTCATCGAGTGAAGATTAAGTTTTTTCCCATGTTAATTACCCACATCTCTGGCTGAATATTCATGCCACTTAACCTTAATGACTGATCTTAAAATGTCTGAGGTATGAATTTACCCTCCCCCTGTAGACCGTGAGTGTAACTTCCCCCAGTGCCTAGTTCTGGGCTTTGAATGAAGCTTCTGTTTGGCCTGTTTTTGTGTCTCTCTTGAGTGGTGGCCTAAGGGAGATTTGGCTTCTAAGTAACATGCTCAAAGTTAAGCTCTGGAAATCTATTTGAAATTAAAAAGCAGTAGCTCAAACCTTAAAAAGATCTGACTATATATTCTTAGGAAAGGAGATATTTTAATTATGGAATCCTGATACAAGAGGAGAGTATTGAAGGTTTCTTTCTGCTTACTTAAAATTATTTAAATGTTGTTTTTCATGTGGTTCTTTAGATAATAAAATATCTGGATTTCTTTTCTTAACAGGACAAAAATTTTGAGTCTGTTCCGAGGATTAAAAAGAGCACAGGAATTCCCAGGAGTTTCATGATGGAGGTGAAAGATCCCAATACAAAGGGTGCTATGCTTACAAACACTGGAAAATACGCAATACCGACCATCGATGCGTAAGTATGGATCCTGTGAGTGACCTAAAGTGAGCAGAGGGGAGCACGTGTCAATGTCTGGCTGAACATGCAGAAAAGCTCGTTAATGCCCGTAATAAAATGGTATCATTCTCACTGCTTAAATCCTTGGAAATAAGATAAGCTTTTGGTGCGCATCTGCAAAAGTGCTTTCAATAATAATTCACATTTGTAGTGGATCTTAGAAAGTTGTTTGTGTATTTCTATTTTATCTTTAAAAAAAAACAGTTGCAAAACAGAACAAATATCTGTTGGTCTGGTATTTGACTTCCTTCCCTTTCGACTTGTATCAAATCTCTTGAGTGAGGCAGAGGAAGTTCTTTCATTGCTGTGAGCTAAGAAGATACTCCTATATTGAACAGAGTCTGATCTAAAATTCCAGGTTCTATTTCAGCCTTTAAACGTGTTTAGCAGCACTTCTGCGTGGGGTGTTTTTTTTTCTTAACAATCTCCTTTCATAGAAACACTTTTTCATTTATTAAAATTGTATTACTTGGACATTATTCTGTACAGCTTAACTTTACCCTCTGTCACAGTAAAGGAGGAGTACATTTCACTTCTAGCTGTAGAAAATTATTTTTCTAGGCAAAACTACTGTTGTGTGTCTCAGTTGAGTCAGTGGAGAGGGATGAATTTTGGGGAGAGTCTCTCTCCTCTTTTTTTAATGTGGCAGCTCTAAGGAACTAGCTTAAAATAAATGCTTGTATTTTAGAAGGCTAAGGTGGAACGAGAAGAATTCCATCTTCTCTTCATAAAATCAGGAAGTTGGAAAAATTTCCTGTATTCACACTTCTTTTTTCTTCCTGTCCTGTCCCCCTCAGGGAAGCTTATGCTATAGGAAAGAAGGAGAAGCCTCCATTCTTGCCAGAGGATCCATCTTCCTCCTCTGAAGAAGATGATCCTATTCCAGATGAGTTGTTATGTCTCATTTGCAAAGATATAATGACCGATGCGGTGGTTATTCCCTGCTGTGGAAACAGTTATTGTGATGAATGTAAGTATCCACTCCAGTTTGGTTTTATTCAGAACATTCAATCCGATCTTGCGGGACCAGGAATACGAGCCAATTACCTTGTTATGGGTTCTATTTAATACTTCAGAGGATTCTCTTGATAGAATTTTTTTTTGACGTTTTGTGAAAGTATTTGGATGATTTTTACTTGGAGAAGTATGAGTATGAGAGAAGTACACAACTCTGCAGCTCTTTAAAATACTAAATATTTAACACATGTAGTTTTTCTCCAGCCCTTTCTCTCTTACTGTATGAAATATTACTGTTACATAGTCAGTTCTGATGTGGACTGAAACAAGAGTATAGCTTTTTAATCCGGGCCTCCTCCTTTAAGGGACAATTGTCTAAAACCTTGAGAACTCGATCTCACTAATAATTTTTAAGAATTTACTTTACTTTTAGAGAAGAAGAATTTAAAGAATTTACTTTTACTTTATCATTAATTTTGAGGTTGGTGACTTCTTACTGTGTTAAGTAGTGGTGATGGTGGGGGGGAAACAACTAGATGAAAGAGTAAGAGCACAACCTGCCCTACATCTTCAAATATTAAGATTGTAAAATGTCAAAATGCGTAGTTATGTATGTGTTTCTAGCTAATTGAAGCCTCCCAAAATCTGTTAGTTTGGCAAAAAATATATTTGATTCTAATTATTCACAGGTATCAGAACAGCACTCCTGGAATCTGAGGAACATACCTGCCCAACTTGTCATCAGACAGATGTTTCTCCTGATGCTTTAATTGCCAACAAGTTTCTGCGCCAGGTAACTTGAGCTCTGTCATGCAACCTGTTTGTAGGACAACTCTATTTGTAAGTAGCTTAGGAAAAATAAAATACTAATTTCTCTCCTTGAGTAAGGCTACAAAGAGTTAAAGTATCTGGAAAATAGAGAGGCTTACAGACCTTTACATAAGGCCTGAAAACTTCTGGTCACACTTTTGTGTGATGGTGATAGCTTCACTTTCAGCTTCAATGGCAGCACGAGGCTTGAAATCAAGGAAGGGCTGATCCTGGGGATTGGTAGCCCTCTGAAAATACTTATTTCTAACGTGATGCATGAACGCATCAGGACGTTGATTGACTTTGAGATAGCATTTAAAGGAGCACACAAGTAATCTTATTCTTTGAAGGCTTTTTTAATGTATCTGCTAAAGTTTCATATGACTCTCTTCATAAATATTTTCCTGCCTCTAGGCTGTGAACAACTTCAAAAATGAAACTGGGTACACAAAGAGGCTCCGTAAGCAGATTCAGCAGCAACAGCAGCAGCAGCCGCCGCCGCCGCCGCCACCACCACCGCCACTAATGAGACAAACAATAACTCGCAACCTGCAGCCTCTGCTCAGACCAACGATTTCCAGACAGCAGGATCCACTAATGATTCCATTAGCTGCTCTGTCGTCTCATTCTGCTGCTTTGTCAGCACTGGCTCCTGGTCACTCTATGGCAGCTGCTCTGCCAGTAAATCCGGCTTCTGCCGCGGTCTCAGATCTCCCTCCAGCAGTGTCCCTATCTCTTCGTGCTGAAAAGCCAGATGGACCTTTTCGGTAAGTAAATCTGTAGGGCAACACAAATGGAAAACACATCAAAATACTTAAGTTATATGGTCCCTCTTCAGCTTCTTGTGTAGCTATTTATGCAGCATTAGTGACAGTTTCTAGCAGTAGTGCAAATACTGTTTTTTCCTCATCTTTTATTGCTTTGAATGAGGAAATGAATGATGTTGTAAGTAAGAATCACGAATGATGTTATAAGAATCATCCTCAGTAATGCACATAGTCAAGCCATGACCCTTGCAAATTTGGAAATGGTCGTTATTTAAACCATTCTTTTAAAACCTTGTGCACCAATTGCAGCCCAGCAAAGTTAGGTGAAAATATATCATGATGAACTGTTTGAACTATTGTTTAAGGTTTATAACCTTTTGATTTTACCTAATAGATTTGCCTAATAACTTCTTTTCTAGTGATGCTGATGGTGTTTTACCTCCTGCTGCGCTTGTGAGTGCATCTGAACTTGTTAAATCATCTTCTGTTCTGTCAATCAGCAGTTTGATGGATGAGAAGGTAAGTTTGATTTCAGCATGCATAGCAATTCCTGTCTCATGGTAGAATTTGCTTTCTAACTGTGTCTGCATTTGTTCAAAAGGGCTATCAGGTTCCTGTGCTAAGACAGCCAGCGTTACAAAGTCTTCTAGGCCCACAAGGACAGTCCATACCCACAACTGGTAAGGATCTGCAACCTGAGAACCTTTGTTAACAAATTACCTTCATAGAAACAGAACAGGATTTTTATTAACGCTTTTCCCTCGTCCCTCCGATAGGTCAGCCCATGAGAGTCGGTGCCCTCCGCATGGCAGGCGGCAGGCCAGGCTGGGAACCGTAAGTACATTCTACAGAAATTCAATATGTTAGTGCTCATACCCTGAGTTGATTAGGCAGTGACACATAGTGTAAAGAACAGCTGGATTGTAATGTTATAAGTGTGCATGTGTAGTTATGGCAAGAAGCAAGTGGTAATTTAATGTGAATTAGCTCTAACAAAGGGGATCTGTGCAAGCAGTAAGATTATTTAAGAGAAAGCTCCAGCTCCAGTTAACTCTGAAAAATTAGCAATTTTCAAGCAACCCATGTATTTAGAAATTAAATATAATTAAAACATTAGGTGGAGAGCCACCCTTTTGATTAGTGGCTCAATAAGGCTGAAGAAATTGATTTCCCATTAGAAATAAGCCTCCAACTTTGTTCTTAGCCATATAGTTAATACTGAGCAATCTATTGAGATGCCCACACCGTTATCTTTTAACAATTTGGAATTTCTTCAATTTGGTCTTCTCAAAAACCCAAACTGCTTTCTCACAGTTGGAGTGAGAGTCAGTTTAACTGATATCTGCAGTGTCAAGTATGTCTGTCTTTCTGGCATATTCTTGTAGTAGATAGACTATAAGGGTGCATTATACTTTACAAGCTTTTAAAGGTAAAGCCAAAAAAAAAAAAAAAATGCATTTCACAGATAATCTAAAATATCAAATTCAGTAAGCAAGAAAGCAACAGTTCAGGGACAAGAACAGGCCAAATGCATCATCAGGAGGACAGCAACATAGGAAGTCTTTTATTGAAGAAGTTAAAAGAAGTTCAAGAGAAGAATAGTTAATATTTGTGCAGTACTTTGAAGATCAGAAGTGTGAAGCATTAAGTGTATCAAGGAGTGGCAGAGGAGCAGTGGGCACTTGGCATGTGGGAATGGGAGTCTTGTTTCAGACGTAGTCAGCCTCCATCCACGGTTGCAAAGCTGAGTATGAGGAGAGAAGACTGAGGGAACTGTTGGGGGTGAGGATGTGGAAAGCCAAGTATAAGGAACAAGAAATGAGTGTGGTTTCGCGTGAACAGAAAGCAGGGAGAAAAACGCTTAAGTTGAGAACAAGAAGTGCTTGCCACCATGCTCCCGCTTCATTCACTTTCCTCTTTAAAACCAGGGCAGAGTGTAACAAACAGTGACACATGTTTTTGGGTTTCTTTAGAAGTTCAAATCGAGGACGCCCGCATAGTGAACGTACACAAAGGACTCAGGCCCCAACACTACCAGCATCAGCACCAGTCTTTGTGCCTGTGCCTCCACCTCCCTTGTATCCTCCACCTCCCCATGCACTTCCTCTTCCACCGGGGGTACCACCACCACAGTTTCCTCCTCAGTTTCCACCTGGTCAGCCTCCATCTGCTGGGTACACTGTCCCCCCTCCAGGATATCCCCCAGCTCCTGCAAACATGTCATCAGCTTGGGTACCAACAGCAGTACCAACGGCTCATTCAAATGCCATCCCAACGACACAAGCACCTCCTTTATCTAGGGAGGAGTTTTACAGAGAACAACGGAGACTTAAAGAGGAGTAAGTATTTGGCTCAATGAAGTTGCGTTATTTTTCATTTTTGTATTTCAATAGCATATCGGACCGCAGTTACACTCTAGTGCATCTGGCATAAGCAAAAATGGCATATAAAGCATTTTTCTCCAGTATGTTTTTCATTGCAGATGGTAAACATGCAAAGCTAAAGCAAGACAAATGTAATTCTAAAACTTTCCCTAAAAACTCATAGGAATTCTAAACTGTGTTTGCTTAAATAGGATGTTCACCTTTTGCATTTGCATGCAATATACATTTTCTCATGTTGGCCATGTTTTGTTTCTTGATGTCTTTTTGTAATAAAGGTAAAACTATAATTGTAATAAAGGTCAAACTTATTTTAACAGGGAAAAGAAAAAGTCCAAACTTGATGAGTTTACAAATGATTTTGCTAAGGAATTGATGGAATATAAAAAGATTCAAAAGGAGCGTAGGCGTTCGTTTTCCAGGTAACTGCTTTACATGTCCGTAATGGAGAAGCAGATTGTCTAGAAGAATCAGGAGGAGTTCCACTCCCCCTCTCTATCTCTAGATGGATCGGATGATTCGAGGGCTTAGCAGTGGCAGGAGGTTTGTCCATAGGTCACTAGCTCCAGTGCAGCAGAGGTTACAGTTGAATTGCCTGGTAGCTCCAATTTGGCAGCAGTTGTTAAGGAGCAGGCGTCTGTGGCAGTGAAGCTCTAGTGGCATCCTTCACCTCCTGACAGGTGCCTAAACCCTGTGGAGGGGTTGCTGGATTGTCTTCGTGTCCCGCATTCTGACTGTAAGGCAGCCAAGCGCCTCAGAGGAGATGGGAGAGAAATTGTCTTCAGTTCTGTTTAGCTGCTGTAGACACATGGAGAGGTTTTATCCTGGACTGCAAACTGGAGCCTTTCACTAGTGTTTTGTTGACCTTGTTAATTTTTTTTTTTAGGAGATAAAAGATCTGAACTTCCTTTTTTATGAAAGCTTAAATTGTTAAATTGATGAAGGACTTGAGAGGCAGAATGCTGCTAATGAGCCTGTGCGGAATAATGTGGAGTGGTTCTTGCTGAGGAGATGCTCAGGGTAGTCAACAGTTTATGGCGAAAAAATCACTTGGACATCAGTTCAATAGTTGAATAGTTCTCTGTTACTAATGTCATTGATATTCTGAGAGTAAGTGTTGAAGTATTGCTAGAGGCCTAGAGTTTGAAAAGTTCCAGATTTGATTTTGCTTGCACTGAGGTAGATGTCCTTGGTTTGAGCTAGAGATGTGTGCCAAACTTTGCCAGAACATCGAGGTAGAGTGTGTTGCTGGAGTAGGACCGCTAGTAACATCGCAGAGTCACACGTCTTGCCAAAAATTGCCAAATAAGCAGTAGGTTACATTGACTGAGCTAGCTTTATAGAACTTAGCTTTGCTGTCTTCAGGCTAAATTGCGTTCTGTTGGTGCTTGGTACTGCGCTGTAGCCATTAAGACTTGCTTTTTTTGCATCTTACTGCAACAAAATTGATGTGTACAGCACGTAGTTCCTGTCTAGTGAAATGTGTGTGTTCTCATACCAGTAGAGGCCAGCATACACCGCCTTAAATCAATCAATAGACCATAGAATCCTTATAGATCTTGTAGCTAATGTGATAGAAGTGAGTAGAATTAGACTTACTCTTTCTGTATGTTTTACACTAACAAAACTGCAGCTGTTCTGTTTTGTAAGCAGAAACTTTTACATGTTATCAGGTTCTTCGATTTGCAGTAGCATTATGTCAGCAGCTGAAAGAAGCTTTGACATAAGCATGTGGAGAGAGGAAAAAAGACAAACCAAATTTGGGAGGAAAAATTTTGGGGTGAGCATCTGTTTTGAATTAACTTCATTTATTTTTTTGTACTGTGTTTTTTTTAAGGTCCAAGTCTCCCTATAGTGCTTCATCCTACTCTAGAAGTTCCTACACCTACTCCAAGTCGAGATCAGGTTCTTCTCGCTCCCGCTCCTACTCTCGCTCGTTTAGTCGTTCGCATTCACGTTCCTACTCGCGGTCACCTCCGTATCCCAGAAGAGGCAAAGGAAAAAGCCGTAACTATCGCTCTAGGTCAAGGTCACATGGTTATCACCGCTCGAGGTCAAGATCACCACCATATAGAAGATACCATTCACGATCAAGGTCTCCAATATTTAGAGGCCAGTCTCCCACTAAAAGGACTATACCACAAGGGGAAGGGGAAAGGGAGTATTTTAACAGATACAGAGAAATTCCACCCTATGATATGAAAGCTTACTATGGCAGATCTGTTGATTTTAGAGATCCGTTTGAAAAAGAAAGATACAGAGAATGGGAAAGGAACTATAGAGAGTGGTATGAGAAGTTTTACAAGGGTTATGCCGTCGGAGCTCAGCCTCGACCCCCAGTAAGCAGAGAGAACTTCTCTCCAGAGAGGTTTGGTCCCCCTGGAACCAGGCGAGAGAGTTCACCGTATGCTCGGGGACGTAGGGAGGATTATGCTAGTGGACAAAGCCATAGAAATCGTAGTATAGGTGGCAGTTACCCTGAAAAGCCTTCTGGAAGAGAGAGCCATGGCATCAAAGATCCCACAAAATCAAAAGAAAAAGAGGTAGAAAATCCGCTGGGAGATGGCAAGGGAAATAAACATAAAAAACACCGAAAGAGAAGAAAAGGTGATGAAAATGAAGGGTTTCCCAATGCTGAGTTGTTGGAAGGTGCAAGAAAATCAAGAGAACCAGTTGCAGCAGAAGATGTCAAAGCAGACTCTATGTTCATGGTCCCCAGTAGAGATGATGCTACCCCTGTGAGGGATGAACCTATGGAAGCAGATTCCATTGCTTTTAAACCAGTGTCTGAAAAGGAGAAAAAAGAGAAAGATAAGCCGAAAGCAAAAGTTGACAAGACGAAACGGAAAGCAGAAGTAGCTGTTGCTCCTAAGAAAGACAGTACAGTCAAACCTACTAAAGCTTCCCAGGAGAGGGTAGACACTGATCGTGAAAAATCTCCTCGGACAGAACCCTCTGCAAAAAAAGTGAAGGAGGAGTTGCCAAAGACAGATGGTGTTAAAGCATCTTCATCTCAAAAGGATGAGAAGGCTCTTGGTACACCCCGGAAAGCTCATCCAAAAGTGACAAAAGATCACCCAGAAACCAGACCGGCCAAGGAAGAAAAGGCCAAGAAAGATCATCCAAAAGAAGGCAAGTCAGAGAAGCCCTCCAACAAAGAGGAGAAGTCAAAGAAAACAGCTGAAAAAAGCAAAACTTCTGATGCCAAACCTGAAAAAAGAAAAAGGAAGGCAGATGAAAAGGTAGATAAAGAGCACGAAGCTGCCTCTGTAAAGGCCTCCAAACCGGAAAGCGCTGAATCAAAAGCGTCACCGAAGGGGAAGGCTGAGCCCGATGGTGAAAAAACAGAGAGAACCCCAGAAAAGGATAAATCTGCTTTTCTGACTGCGCCTGCAAAAAAGATTAAACTTAACCGAGAAACTGGCAAGAAGATTGTGAGTGGAGAAAATGTACCCCCTGCAAAGGAACCTGCTGAGAAACCTGAGCCGAGCAGCAGCAAAGCTAAAGCAGAAAAAGCGAAAGGAAAAGTGAGAAGAAAAGTAACAGCAGCTGATGGATCTGGTTCGACTCTCGTAGATTACACCAGGTACCGTACTGCTTGTCCTGTCTTCACTCCCTCTTCCCCTGCCTGACCCCTTTCCCCACCACCACCATAAAAATGTAAAATCTTTGTCCTGACTAATGCTAAATTGAGTCTAAATGATTGAGTAATCTGTGAGCTGTTTCATCAGCAGCTCTAAGTGGGGAAAATCCACTCTTGCTGGAAGAAAACCAGTTTGAACTACATAGAAAGCTGATGAGGTCAATTCATAGGTGACGTGTTTGACCCTTGTTTCTGGGACTCTTCTCTCGCTTGCCTTGTCAGATGAACTATTTGATTCTTTGAGGCAGCGGGTGGTGGGTCTCCCCTCTGGCTTCCCTCAGGCTAGCTTGCTGATAGGGACGAGGCTAGCAGGGCACATCTGAACCATGCAATGCACGATGTGTCTAGAAATCCCGAGCTCCTCAGTGATGTGTTGGGTGACAGGACACGGAATTAGGCCTTGCAGAAAAACCAGCTCAGTTAAAGTGAGTGGCACCGTTGAGCGCGGCACCGTGTCAGCCAGCACGAGCTCCTGGGCGTTCACTCGAGAGGGGCTCCCTGCTCCTTCCCAATGTGGTACCTGGGAAACCAGAGGGATGGAGCATCTCGGTAGCAGGACAAAGCAGATTCAAACGTGTAAGATACTGTTGGGGACATAAGGTACTGTTGTGCTATTTTAAGGAGTGCCAAAGCACTTTTTTCTAAGGGACAACTTGGGCATGCTGATAGATTTCTTGTTCCGCTGATCCTTGCTTCTGCGGTGAAGCAAGAGTGTGTAGCTAATATATCTACTATTGGTAGAAATAGGACATCAAGGACTTACCAGATCAGACAGTCCCCAATCTCATAATCTTTTTGTCCCTGTTAATTAAATGTGTAGTAGGTAGTTACTAAATTAATTGATTGCTCATAATCTTAACCAGTGGAGTCATCCTCTCTGATCTCTTCCTTTAACTGCACATGTTTTCCAAAAAAAATACTGGGTATATCTAACATGCCCTTTGTTTAAACTCTAAAAACGTTCCATGGGGTTCACAGAAGATGGCTGTGCTTGCGTCTTACTCCTTACCGATGTATCCCCCCACACACCTTTTTTTTTCTCTTAGCACTAGTTCCACTGGAGGAAGCCCTGTGAGAAAGCCTGAAGAAAAAACAGATACAAAACGGACTGTTATTAAGACCATGGAGGAGTATAATAATGATATAACCGCCCCTGCTGAAGACGTCATTATTATGATCCAGGTCCCTCAATCAAAGTGGGATAAAGATGACTTTGAGTCTGAAGAGGAAGACATTAAGTCCACCCAGGTACCCACAAATGTAGGGAAACCAGCTAGTGTTGTAAAAAATGTGAGTGTTAAGCCCCCAAACCCCGTGAAACACAGTGAAAAAGAAGCTGAGCCTTTGGAAAAAACACAAAAAGCTGCAAAAGAAGTGAGTTACGAGAGCTCCCAGCATGATGCAAAAGGATCAAAAAGCTCCATGGCAAGTGAAAAAGGGAAAACCAAAGACCGGGATCATTCTTTGTCAGACAAGGACACTTCTGAGAAGAGAAAGAGCAGTGTTCAGCCAGAAAAAGACCACTCAGAACGAGGGACTGAACAAGGAAATGGAAAAAATATTTCTCAATCTTCCAAAGAGAGCAGATCTTCAGAGAAACATGATAACGGGCGCGGATCCACTGCTAAAGACTTCACTCCTAACAGAGACAAGAAATCTGACCACGATAGCACCAGAGATCATTCTAGCTCCAAGCGCAGAGATGAGAAGGGAGAGGTAGCGAGGAGAAAAGACTCTCCTTCCCGAAGCAGGGAGGCCGCGTCGGGACAGAAGAGCAAGCCGCGAGAGGAGCGCGCGGAGGCGGCCAAGAAGGGCGCCGGCGATGCCAAGAGGGGCGGCTACAGCCCCGCACGCGAGCGCAGGCCGGCCGAGCACAAGCCCGCGCACGAGCCCAAGCGCTCGGCGGAAGAACACAAACCTCCAGATAAGAACGCGGGCAAGGAGAAGGAGAAGGAAAAAGAGAAACAGGTGACGGAAGTAAAGAGCAATAAAGAAAAAGAGCCGGTTGTTAATAAGCCACCTCCGAGACTTGAATCCCCAGATGCAAAAAATGAGAAAGAAAACGTGACCGGGCAGAATGAGAAGAACGTCGTCAAGCCTAAGCCTCAGGTCAGCACCTCCTCGCGGCTCTCCTCCGATCTGACCCGAGAAACTGATGAGGCTGCCTTCGTGCCAGACTACAACGAAAGCGACAGCGAGAGCAACGTGTCGGCGAAAGAAGAGGAGGCGGCGGGCAAGAACTGCAAGGAAGCGAAGGAGAAGCCTGCCGAGAAGGGCAAGGAGGAGGCGGCGGCGGGCGGCGCGGAGCAGCCCGAGGCGAGCCGCAGCCAGAGCCAGAGCAGCCCCAGCGTGAGCCGCAGCCGCAGCCAGAGCCCCTCCGAGAGCCAGACCCGCAGCCACAGCAGCAGCGCCAGCTCGGCAGAGAGCCAGGACAGCAAGAAGAAGAAGAAGAAGAAGGAGAAGAAGAAGCACAAGAAACACAAAAAACACAAGAAGCATAAGAAACACGCTGGAAATGAGTCGGAATTGGAGAAGAGCCAAAAACACAAACACAAGAAGAAGAAATCCAAGAAGAGCAAAGATAAAGAGAAGGATGACCAAAAAGTTAAATCTGTCACTACATAGAATGACAGATTACGAAGAATTGACTTAATTCCTAAGTCATCTGTATTAAATTTTGTTAAAATGTAAACGAATTCAAGCTTTGTAAATAATGACATGAAAGACCCTGTGCTGCACTTAAAATATTGCTGCTTGATTATTTGATTTTTACATCAGAGCTTTATAAAGTGAACATTTTGTACAGAATTGTGAGTTGTGACCATGTAACATGAAAGGTTTTGCTGGGGCATCTTATTTTTAACCACCGTTAATTAGTTTGGGTGGAGTTTACTGTACTGTGAAGATTTTCACATTTGAATTTTTTTTAATTGCCTGGCAGAAAAAGCTGGTATCAGTTACAAAATATCAGCAGAATGATTTGCAGAATACATTACAGCCCTGTTATGTCACTTTTTGATTACAATAAAAAGTTTTCAGTAAACTTTATTCAATGTGATGGGGTTTCCAATGGTAGATGAACGAAAGCAGAGAGAGAATAGCCACCGCAATTGGCCAGTGGAAGCCTGCGGCAGGCCCAGGTGCTGTGTGCATGGGTTTGATTTTAGCTGGCACAGCCTGGAGGCTCCTGAGCTGCTGCGGGCTGGGGAGTATCGCCAAGAGGAGCACTCTGACACGGGCCAGGTTGTGCCAGGCAAATGGGTTTGTTTCTTTCGGGATTTCTTTGTTTGTTTGTTTGAAGTCAGAAGATACATTGCCTGAAACATACAGCCGCTATTAATAGCTGAGACTGTTTTGAAAATCATGTTGTATGTGAAGCTGTCAAGCTCCAGCATTGTTCCAGCTTGTTGAGAAAGCTGCTGCCATGTGTTGGCAAACATTACAGAGAGACTCGAAGGAAGCAATCCTGCAATCCCGTGTTCTCTGTTTCCTTTCTGAACAGCATTGATCACAAAGATTTTGTGTTTTTGAACGAGTTTTCTTTTATGATGAGCGTTTTCATGCTATGGTGCCACGTGATATAGAGCAATCGTCTGAATTAAATGCAGGGTTAAGTAAGTGAGTTTGGCCAGAGAAGAAAGCCCGTGTGAAAGGCAGCCTTGTGATTTATGCTGCTTTGAACAATGGCAGGAAATATAGAAAATGCACATTTAATTGCTGTGATGATTTCACACAAGCTGGTTTTAAAACCAGGAAGGTGGCGCTGGAGGCTGTTGTGCGGCCTGCTTGTCGCTGCACGCAGGGGTGTAGGATCGCAGCGGCCGTTGAGCGAGGCCGGAGGAGCCCCTGCCTTTGCCGACCTGGGGCTTTGTGCCCAGCGACTCCCGTGCAGGGGCACTGGGGAGTAAAGCAGCRTTTCGGGGCTGCCGTTTGCAGCCCCGTTGGGTCGAGGAGCGGCGCCGTGTCCGGAGCTGCCGCCTGGAGCCTCCGCGGCACGGCAGGATTGCCCCTTGCCCGCTCAGTGCRCGGCTGTCGCGTTGCAGATGTTGGGAGGAGACCCACACCCGGTAGCTCAAGAGCAARCGGGAATGAGCCTGCGGATTCCCCGCAGGACCTTGCGCGTCCTSGTCGGCCCTCGGCCGCGCTGCGTCCACGGTTTGGGAGCCGGGGAAAGGGGCTGCTTTTGCTGAAACGCCACAAATTCGGGTGAGATGGGGTTCGTCCCGCACGTGGGAGGTTCTTTTGTGAGCAAGGTTCAGAATAACTAGTGACYTTGTGTGGGAGTCAGCCGTGGAAGCTTCTTGATGCAGTAGCCCCGTAAAAACAGGTAAAGTGCTGTCTTGTAAATAAGCGTGCATTATATAGCATTTTTATACAGCATGCTGTGTTTTTATGTAGCCTTGTGCAGAAAAAGCTGTAGGCTGCTTTTTGAACACCCAGTGAAACTTTCCTTGGCTTTTAGAGCTCTGTAACAGTTTCTGGGCTTTTTTCACCCTCGTCGGAGTTCGTTGCCTCTAYGTACGTCGTTTGTTAGGATTAATTGGTTCCTTTTCAGGTTTTTTGAGCTGAAGACAACTGAAATGCAGTTATGCTCAGGCCTGGTTTTACGAGCTTGCTCCGTGTGTAAGAAACCAACGCGCACCCAGCGACCAAGTGGCTTTTAATCCATCCCTTGTGCTAACGTTGTGTTTGATCGTGTGCTGAGGTAAGCGGGGTCTGTTCGGTGAAAGGGATTGCGGATCCCTGTGCCGGTGTCTGCAGGGAATCCCTGGGAATCTCACTTCCCGTCTTCAGGTTAGGCTGAATATGTCAGGATACTGTTTGAAGCACTCGCAGTTAACACACTTCGGCTTAGTTTTCAGTAGAAAATGTTGACCATAAGTAGTTTTATTAAAACACAAGAGGAGGCTCTTYGGCTAAGGGAAAGAGGACGTTAAATAATGTTCAGAGAAACCCATGGTTGAGTATTAAAGGCAGTAGGCAAAGAATTTTAGGCAAACTCAGCTACTTTGTGCATTTGAGAGATACGTCTCAAATGACTGGAGAACAAACCTTGCCCCCTCCCCTAAAGGGGGGAAGCAGCATGCGAATATATTTAAGTCTTTGGTGCCAGGCTGATGCAAGCAGGGCTGAGTATCCTGCGGCACGGGAGCCGAAGTGGGAGCCGCGTTCGGCTGCAGGACCGGTGAGCGCGAGGAGCGGGGTGGGAAGCGCCGCTGCAGGCGGACGCGGCTCCGCGCGGCCGCCCTGGCCCTYGCGTGTCCCTGCGGGCGCCTCTCGCGGGTCGCGCTGCCGGGTGCTGCTGCSTGTGTCACACAGCTCCCCATTGCAAGTGTGTTAATTACTCTTTACGTTGCCTGAAGAAGCTGCTGTGTTTCAAAAGCAGCGGGTTTTGCCCAAGTGCTGTCACAGAAGCCGCTTTCTCTCGGGGAGTCTCTAATCGCGGCTTCCCTGCAAGGCGCCGGCCCTGCACTGCAGCACGTCCAGCCCTGCTCCTTGGGAGCCGCTCGGAGCGGGAGCAGAGCCTGGGCTGCCGCTTCCCGCGGAAAACGCTGCCCTCCCCGCGTGGGTCCCGGCTCCGCGACCCGCTCTGCGGCCACCCGGCCTCCTTGCTTGCCATTGCTTCGGTAATTAGCGGCAGATTCTGTGCTTATGTTTGCAATTATCCAGCTGCCTGTGGGACGTGTTCTGCCGGCTAATTGAATCTCCCCGGTAGGAAGGAGAGCGCGCGGGAGCGCTCGAGAGGCCCTGCTGCATCCGGGGGGTTTTGCTGCCATTCGGTGTCGCGTTAAGATAAATGAGACCTTTTCCTTCAGGAAACCGGGCAGAAGCCGAGGCCGCTGCTGCGCTTTCCCCGGCGGCGGCTTTGCCRGGAGCCTCCACGGGAGAGGAGGGTGGTTGGTGACGAGCCGGGCCCCGGCCCTGCCCGGGCTTTGCGCGGCGGCTCCTGCCCGGCTGCTCCGGGCACCGGCAGCACCAAGCGGCTCCGGGGCTGCGAGACGCGGCGCCGGGGCAGCCTTGGAGCGCCGGGAGCCGCGGTCCTGCTCCTGCGGCGCGGCGCGGTTGGCACCAAGGGCTGCTGTTGGGCCGGTGCTGCGCGCACCGCGGCGTGGCCGGGGCCTCCAGCCGGGGCTGCAGCCTCATGCGTCTCCTTGGGGTGAATTCCCACCAGGAACCCCAGCACAGGGCACAGCGAGGGGCTGCGGTGCAGCGGGCAGCG